TCTTTTTCCCCGCAGGATCCCAAGGGGCCCCTCCTTTTTTTTTTTTTTTTTTTTGTGTGCGCTAGAAATCTGTGCGTCTCCACAAACACTCAGGCACAGCAAGGCAATGCATTCCCTGATCCCCACTCCTCTCTTCTCCCTTCTCCAAGTTAGTAGATGAACAGGGCCCCTTCTCCAAGTTAGTAGATGAACAGGGCCAACTAATCGAAAGCCGATTAATCGATGATTGAAAATGTTGACAACTCTTTCAATCATCGATTATAATCGACTTAGTCGATTAGTTGTTGCAGCCCTATCAAACGGAAATCTTGACTGGTAATTTGGGGTCACCTACGATTGGTCACAGATTGCTTGGATTAGCAGGTTGAGGTGCTCCATGATCATGTACAGTTCCAGTACAAGCCATTGGGTTAAAGATTTGTGAGCAATTCCTGGCCATTAAAGGATAATTGTGCACAAACCACCTGTGAAGTGAACTCTGTGTTTAATGAAGTTATAACTCTGTGTTTGTCCTAGTTATAGTATATGCCGGCGTTATAAGTAGTTTTGCTAATCTGGTTAAGCAATCCATACAGAAAATTTGAAAAGTATGTGTTTCAGACTGTGTCTCGCTTGATGAATCATGAACTTGTGAAATACTGAATTTATTCTGATCCTAGTCACCATGAATTCTGTTTTGTTTTTCTTGCTTGTTTATAGATGTGGGGGCACTGTTGGCGCCATCTTGACGTGTCCACTGGAAGTTGTGAAGACCAGGCTCCAGTCCTCCTCAGTGACACTTTACATCTCTGAAGTACAGCTGAACACTGTGAATGGTGCCAGTGTTAACAGAGTGGTGTCGCCCGGACCACTGCACTGTCTAAAGTAAGACCTATAAAGAATATATGATGTTTTTAAACTGAAGAGATGTGATACACATGATACAATATTATCTAAAGCTTAACCCAATAAATGTACACACAATAGTGTACACTGTGTCTATTCTTTAAGGCTTTTGTGGATTGGTTTTGGGTTTACTTCGATGGACAAATGCAGCTTGCTTTTAAGTGCATTTTGCTTGCGTTTGAGACACATCTGAGTTCATTGGTTCATTTGACCAAAAGTTGACTTCATTTTGACCTGCATTTGACCTCCTAAGGTGCGACAGGCTGCTTTTGCATTTCCACAGACTGGTATGCATCAATACAGGCCCTAAATATGTGTGCTCATATGTATACAGGACAGAGCTGAAAACTAAGAACCACACGTGTCATTAGTGTACCGTATATACTCGAGTATAAGCCGAGACTTTCAGCCCATTTTTTTGGAACATTTTATATCATTATTTACTTGGTGTATCTGGCAATGAAGATGTCCATGGACATGCATATCAGTATACCAAGAGCTTTCTTTTCTCGGTGATGGAAGCAATGTTTTTCAGAGATTTGTTTTTCCACAGTGATGTTCAGTCCAAACTGACCACATGGTGAAGGGGACAGAAATGATCCTCCGCCACAACAATTGTGCCTTCCATTGCAACTGTTCTATATCTTGGTAGATATCTCTTGGCCTTGGAAAAAGTCAAGGGGAACCCTAAGACCAGTTGTTGGTGGAAAAGATCCAAAATGACCAATCTACACTTCTCCCCAGCTCAGCCTAAATAGGAACCAGTTATTGTCAGGAAAGGTCTACAATTAGGATAGAGGTTATGTGATGGGTCTATGCAGAAAATGTTCAAAAACAATCAAATCTTATACTTTTTACTAGTTTCAATTTAAAAGGTACTTTTGTCTAAATAACAATATCATTCTAGTGGGGCCCCATTCTGCAGGAAATCATACAACATAATGCATATGCAATGGGTTTTTTTACAAACCTAACCTGCTATGCTTATTGCTAAATGAACATACCATCCTAAAACCACCTTGGAATGAAAGCAAGTGTTAGTTCTTAGGCCCAGGACCACGAGCAACAAAAGATGTATAATCCTGTATGTTAATGCAACAGCACCACCAGATTGTCCCCATGGCTGTCCAATAGTGTGCAATGATCAGTGTGTTTCCACTAATTGTACCTATGAAGTAAAGAACAGTTGTGATCAGGAAAATGACATCCAGTGTACATCAAACAACCTATGTGCTCAGGCTTACTTAGTGAACAAAAAGGAAACATTTTATGTAGATCCAACAAAGCTATTGGATTTGCATACAACAAATATAGCGGCACTTCCCTGAGGAAATCATTGCATAGCCAGATGTAATGTGTCCCCATAGGTAGTTAACAAGCGCAGCAAATATGAATGAAACGAATGGACCTATCAGCCCTTCCGACTGTTGCAATAATTATAGCTGTCACCACGTGGTGATGACAAAGGAACAAGGTAAGACGGTACTGCTCCTGGTTATATGGGTAGCTAACCGGTGGCAACACAGGAAATAGCAGTGAGTGGAGCCTGGCATGTCTCACCTGACATGTAGTGCGCTTCCTCAGAGGCTGTGAGACACGCTCAGGCTAAGGCCTCATTCACACACAACGCAAGCAAAATTGTATATACGAGCGTCTATGCGCGTATATACGGGCGTCTATGAGCGTATATGCGTGCACTATATGCAAACCCAGAATGCATCACTCGTAATGGAATTTTTAATGTGCTGTAATGTAAACATGTACGCGCAGAAATACGCTGCCCGGACGCATCTATATTCCATTCTGTTTTTGCGCATATATACGCTACGCAAATATACGGCTCCATACGCGACTGTGTATATGGAGCCATTTATTTGCATATGGTACAATACACACATACGTGCGGCAGTGTGAATGAGGCCTAAAGGTCTAAAACTACTTGGTCTGCTCACCTGCTAAAGCGGTTCAGGGCAGCAAGGATTTTGCTGCCCTGACACATTGCAGGTAAAGTAGATGTAAATTCTCTTTAACAAATTGCATTGCTTAATTGTTACCTTTAAATGCAAGTGCAAACATCATGTCTGCCTCTCTCCAACACTCATCGTTGTACAAAGTGCCTGCAAATGTTCCTTCTCCCTGACGTTACCATTGGTTTCCTGTGCCGCCTTGACATGTAGGCAGCCAAACTTCCTGTGAACATTGAATAGAGGACACTGTGCCAACATGGGTAAGTTTGACACGCTTTGGGCTTGTGTCAGTTACATCAGTTTGAGACTAGTGATAAGGCTAGCCTTGGTACGATCCCAACTCAGAACTGTGACTGCCACCCCTTCCTCCTGACCCAATCAGTTGGAGAGAGGCACAATCACTTCCCCACAGCCATATGTCACAAAGGGCCGTGGAATGCCCCCGCCGCAACTGCCACCACTGATTTTGTTGGGGAGGAGGGGATGGTGGTCACAGGTATGAGCGGGCTTGGGCAAACTCGGACATACCAAGCGCAACCTCATCTTTGCCTGAGATGATTCAGAATTCATTGACAGGTTTGTCTGACTTGAATTTGACCGGTTTCAAGCAGGTTTTACACCCCATAGACTTGTATGGCAATGCAAAGCCCATTAACACAGGCCCTTTCTTGTAGTTCAGCCACGGAGGGCTGGCAAGGCTGCTTACAATTTCAATGCAGCAACGTCCGTGTTGTCAGCCAAAAGAAGGAAGTTAGACTTGTATTCACTAAGTACTGCATACTACTAATAACAACCTGACAAAGAAATAACCAGTCTTATTTTTATTTAGTGAGTAGCATATACTACTTTAGCACAGCCGCTTAGATGTATACTTTTAGATAGGGGCACGGACCAAGGTGGGAAAGAAATGAGTGATCAATGTTCATATGTGTGCAAGCTCATCTATATAAAAAGTTTTGATTTGTGTCCATGCATTATACTTAAACCTGTGCTTCTAATATCTGTAAAAAATAAGTCAAGGCAACTGGACTTGTATTTTTTTGGAAGACGTTTCACTGGTCATCCAACCAGCTTTCTCTTTCAGTTGCCTTGAACTATTTTTTATAGATATACCATGACCTGGATGAATGAGAACCTTCACAGACTTCTAATGCTGTGTGTTAGAGAACCAAATACCATTTCAATGTAAATGTCAAACATTTCTCACAAGTTTGAGAAAGACTGTGCTAACACAAGCAGCATGTAGTATTCCAGCTCAGTTATTACACCGCATGTTCACTGCCTGGGACTGCATTTAAAAGAAACAGAACAGTTTGTGCCATATGACATCAGGCCTGCTGAAAGGAGGTTTCCCACAGTGTCAGAGTTAAAGGAGAACTATGAGGTGAGTGATTTTCACTCACCTCATAGTTCTAACCGACCTGTGACTGAGACTGCCACAGGTCGGCTCAGTAGATCGGGAGGTGAGCGAACACATACCGGGTTCGCTCGCCTCTCGATCCTGTCACGGCTCTCTGCCGTGACAGGGGGAGGGGCTGGATTCCCCTCTCCGATCTGCCAGGGCTGACTGGCGAAACGGACAGGGGAGGGGGCGGGTACAGCTGGCTCTGCCTCTAGATAGGTGTCACTCACGCAGCCGGGTGGATCTCGACATGGATGTCAGGATCCGCTCTGGCTGCGGCGTCTCAGTACAGCTCGCGGTATACTGAGCTTAGGGTAACGGGAGGACGCTAGTTTGTGTCCTCCCGTTACCCTAAGGAGAACTATGGGGAAAAACACTGACCCCATAGTTCTCCTTTAATTGGAATCAATTGCAGGGATGTAACACCTATATTGAAGCGTGCACACACTGTATAGCCAGCAGCCCCACCTCCATTTTCTTTTTCTTGGGTGATGCACTAAAGTGCTTCCTGAGTTGCCAATGAACCATTTTAAGCTGTTCCTCATTTATAACATGTCCCATATAGTTAAATCGCCTGTGAACGGTTTGGTCTGTTCTGTTTTGCTAAACTGTTTGTCTTTCAGCCCGATTAGAGCTCATTAGGGAATGAGAATGACGTAGAAGAGTAATTCTGGATAAATGTAGATCACAATAAGCGAGTGGGTGGTGTGTGATATCGTGCTGACTGTAGCATAGTGATGACTTTTTTTCAGTTTTATTTTTATTTTTTTAATACTGATAACGTGACCATTGGTCTTTAGCATGAACTTGCTCTCTTTTTTTGTTTTCTCAGTAAAAATATTCTGAAAAGATAGGAAGGTCAGAAATATAAAGTGCACCTGTCATGAAAGAAGCATTGAGGCTACAATTGCCAGGCACCTTTTGAAAATGTTAGTTTCTGGGCTGTATACGCTCACTAATTTGAAGAGAACACAGAGTAAGTCAATGCAGGCAGCCCGGCAGCGTGCACCCGCAAAGACACCGTGGGACACAGGAGACGCAGGATCAGAGACCGGCACTAGCGCTGGAGGGACTCCTGGAAAGAAGATGATGATTGGATCAAGAGGCATCATTTTAAGGCAAGTCCTTACACCAGAATCGGGGGGGGGGGGGGGTTTTTAAATTTATGTGTAGCCCTATTGGAACAACCGTTTTAACAAAAGTCAATTTTTCAATCAACTTTTATTGAAGGAGCCGGTCTGAAAATTCTAGGTTGACCGGTCGGCTGCAGTCACTGTTTGGGTATTCCTCCACAAGGTCTGCATTTTAGATGGGCTCTTTTAGCTGATCTAAGGACTTGGAACTGCACAGCCCTGGCCTTGAAAACCCCCTGACCTCATTTATCTCGGCTGGGCAACAAGGGGGTTTCCTTTTTACTGGATCAATATGGAAACTCCCTCAAGTAACTTCTTCATTGTTTACTTTTTTCATGATGTGGTGGCCATACAAACATTACATAGAACCACTTGTCAAAGCATTCAAATGGCTTGTAGAAAGTGATTGGTGTAATACATTTTAGGTAATTAAGATTTTGTTAATAATGGACTTGTTGGTAATACAACTTCTCACAGGGAGCAGTAAGCATTTTCTAACTCCCATTTATTTTATCATATGGGAAGCAGTTTTAAACTAGAATGGTAGCATTCCTATATTAGGCCAAACACGTGACAGCTTAGTCATCAGTTATATAATCAGGATCATCCATGAATATCCTTATAACAGACGTATTAAAGTTTGGGAGTGGAGAGGAATAGTTGGCACATTAGTTAACAGTATGAGACAATAGATAGAGAGTTATGTAAAACCTGTAATCCTGTTCCCATACTATGTCAATATTAGACTTTGCAGGGATATTAAACATCACCAGGACAGAGACATTTGGGCTGATGTGGTGTTTATCCACAGAGGTAAGCATCCTAGTAAAGCTTAGGGGGGTGATGAGTTGTTCAGTTACCCAAAGCTTAATTTCTGTCTATAGGACACAGAGCTGCCGGTGTCCTAGCAACAAATGAAGCATTCCCTATGTAAGCAAACATATTTGGGTTACGTCAGCCAGTATCCCCCACCCCTTTGTTTACATTTAGCTGCCAACAGCTGAATTGGGCCAGCAATGAGTCATCGATTTCTAGGAGGCTGAGGGCTGCATAGCCGACAGCCTCTTAGCAACCACTGACGGCTGACTAGGTAGAACCTGATGGGGATGCATATCACATGTGTTCAACCAAAAAAAGAACACCTTGAAACCACTTGTTTACTGAGAACCCTTTCAAAAGCACAGTTGGTCAATAGCAAGATAAAAACCTTTAGAGCCTCTTCACACCATTGTGTGGCATTAACGCGAGATAAAGCACTTTTCTTGTATTAGTGTATTGCACTGCCATTCATTTTAAATGAAACCTCAGTGCACTTCTATAACACACTTGTGTAGCCACAACACACATTAACTGTATCATATAAAAGAAACAGATACTCCACCCCTCCATCTGCTCTGGTGCACCTTAGTGGAGTGGATCAGAGCAATCAGGCGAGAACCAGCCTTGTATAGTGCCTTGTAAATGTATCCACCCCCTTTTGGTGTCCTTTTTTTTTTTCCCCCTTTTTTTTTCTTTTCCACATTACAATCTGGAATTTAAAATTGATTTCTGGGGGGTTTGCACCATGTGATGTACACAACATGCATATCACTTTTGTAGGTGCAAAATCATTTTTATTGTTACACAATCAATAAATAAGACAAAAGAAAGTGCAGAAATCTTGTGTGCATAAGTATTCACCCTCCAAATTTCAATACTTTGTAGAGCCACCATTTGCTGCAATTACAGCTTCATGTCTCTTGGGCTATGTCTCTATTAGCTTAGCACATATAGCTACTGTATTTTTGTTCCCCTTTCTTCAAGGCAAAACCGTTCCTTCAAGTTGAATGGGTTGTGTTGGTATACAGCAAATTTCAAGTCATGCCGCAGATTCTCAGTTGGATTGAGCTCTGAGCATTCCAAGACATTTAAATGTTATCCTTTCCTTATTTTGTAGCTATAAAGTGTGTGCATCACATGGTGCAATCCGCCCCAAAATCTGTTTTAATTACAGGTTGTAATGTAATAAAACAGGAAAAACCGCAAGGGGTGAATACTTTTTGCAAGGCGCTGTAAAGACTGATGCAACTTGCTGTCATTAATTTAAAAAATCCTTTTTGATCTCCAAAGCCAGTCTAATAAATAATAGGATTAAAATTCTTTTCTCAATGCTATTTCCTAATAATTATTATTAGTAGCGTTCTATTTTGTGCCTTTGGTAACACTTCCAGCTGTTCTTCCCTTTTCTTTTTAACAATCTACTGAGTCTGCTAGAAGCAGTTGGTTGGTCAGCACAGGATGACCCTAAAGAGGAAGTGTACCCCCTTTAAATAAAAATCACATTAGCATGCTGATATGAAATCATCTTACATTCATTAGCTAAACAAACATTTGTATTTTATTTCCTGGTCCACTTTGGCACAAATGATGTAATGTGCCCAAGTGTAGCATCCTGGGAAGGTTACAGAGCATTGCTAGGAAATCTCATCTGTGATCTCAGGGAAAGGCATTTTCCTCCCCTGAGATGATATGCATGGTCACGTGTCTTAGTCACATGTGCCAGAGTTCCAGGAAGTAAAGGGAGATATATTAATCTGCCCTCAGGAAAAAAAATGGCCACTCTCAGAAGACTGGGGAAGAAAAGAGAAATAAAGTATCCAAAGAATGCAGAGCCTGCTATTATCAATTAGTATGCATTTGTAGATTGTCATTTCTAAAGGTGCCTTTGTTGTTATTTTGAAGATATGGGTAAAGTTCCCCTTTAAGCTACAAACACATTTTGTAACATCTATTGAGGTATGTTTTTCATGTAATTTTCTTGTTTTCTTCTTTTTCTATTTTTTCTTGTAAGTTCACAAATGTAGACATTACCATTCGTTCCCTGGGGCCTGAGGGGCATTTGAACTTTCTTGTTCAATTGTCATTGTTTTTGAAGAATGATTTATTTGCTGTGACCCTGTGACCTTTCTTTCCGTTTTGCTATATGGAAAACGAATTATCTTCACAGCGCACCACTCAGTATTGCATGCTGTAGAAATATTATGTAGAAGGGTTTCCTTAACTTGTTCTCCATTATGCCTGGTCAGATGTCAACACGATGATCTCTTGTTCTCAGTACTGCCTGCGTGGTGATCTGTAGAGTAGACTGTTGTTTTGGTAACAATGATAGGTTTGCTTGTAGCCATGTCTAGTTTTATACCACAGCCTCCATACTGTACTCTTGGATTTGGGATAATTTAATGACTTCAGTAAACTATATCAATATAAATTGTGTGACTGTCTGATTTTTCTTAAGCTGTCTAGCCTTTGCGCATATACTTTTGGACAGGTCAGAGGTCTAAATAGACAATTCATGCGGTTAGATATAAAGCCAATCATTAAAATATCATATAAGCTAATATAATTTCATAAGTTCTTCATCTTTTTGAATCTGCAACTTTTATGAAATAATACCTGGGGATCCCACCATGAAAGTCCTTGCTGGGGCTCTTCATTTTATGAGGAATAACTGTCTTTTTATTGTACTCCTGCCCTATCACATGCTTCTCTGGTGGAGACCAGGGAGGGCCGTTCACACCGCTCCGCTGCGGTGCAGTAAACATGCATTGTGTTGAACATGCACTTGAATGGGCTGCTCTTGATAATACAAAATCACCTGCACTCCATACAGCGTACAGACCTTGATGAAAGGTTGGTGCTTGAAGTGACAACACGGATGGCGCCGTGTCAGATACAGTCCATAATAGAAGTCACCAGCACTCGATGTGTGCAAGAAGTAAACAGCTTTTTATTAAATTGTCAAATGCGTCATATAGCCAACGTTTCGGGGCCACGCAGGGTCCCTTCTTCTGGGCGACATAGAAGGGACCCTGCGTGGCCCCGAAACGTTGGCTATATGACGCATTTGACAATTTAATAAAAAGCTGTTTACTTCTTGCACACATCGAGTGCTGGTGACTTCTATTATGGGCTGCCTGACACATCACAACAGTCCAAAAATTGTTCATGTGGCATCTACAGCAGCTCATCATGATGCAGTGTTGCCCTGCACTGCATGTCCGTCGGCAAGGTGTGTTGGGTGCCATTCAGAATAAATGGCACCACATCACACAAACACAAGTTACATGCGTTGCCACAGGATAATGTAGATAGGCCCTGGGTAAATATGTCAACACATATTGCACAGGCATTGTCCACTATTGTTTTATAAAACCTGCTGGTAGAGCAAATGTATTTAAACGGGAAGTGCCTGAAAATAATAGAGGAGATCAGCAGCACTAAGGGGTATATTTACAGGTTTCAACCAGGATTCTCCCATTTTTGCAATTGATTCTTGTGGAGAAAATGGGTAAAACATTGACAAAGAAACCCATAAGATAAAAAAAAGATTGAATTAGTTTTAATAGTATTTAACATGGTACTCACTGCTTTAGCAAAAAAAAAAAAAAAACTCTCCAGTTTGACCTTCTTTAAATGTGCAAGGATGTCCATGAAGTCCACTAGCAGAGCACAATATCATTGTAAGTAGATTTTATTAAAGTCTGCTGGCAGTGCTTCTGTTATATTCACCGATTGCTGGGAAATTCATGTTAAAGCGAACTCTGTGCCAAGCGGAAAGGGAAAAACAAATATAATAGTTTAATTTTTCCTGAGCTGATTTGACATTGTACTTTTGCTGTGCTCACAATTGTTTGTTTGTTTCTTAGGATGATCTTGCAGAAGGAAGGTCCTCGCTCACTCTTCCGAGGTCTGGGCCCCACCTTAGTGGGTGTGGCTCCTTCCAGGTATTGTCATATCATTCAGACGTATCAGATTATTTATTTTTTCTCTTCTATATTCCATACATTACATGGTCATGTTGGATTTATAATCTTTAGTTCAAAATAGGGAACAGTAAGTACTGTTTGTATTAATCTGACAACATAGCACTATCCCAGTACAGTTTCATAAAAAAAACATTTTAGTAAGAAAAAGTGCTTGGTGAGCAAAGCATGAATATTGTGCTTAATGAAAAATACGCAGTACATAGTATTCATTCAGAATGCTTCATCTTCAGACTTGTAGTGCAAAAATGACACATGGAAGATGTTTGGTTTCTTTTTTTTTCCCCCATAAACCCACCTATTGCTGTTTATGAAGCCCCAATTCTTCTAACAGTCTTAGATTGTGGAAAATTTCCAAAAATCGATACATCATAGCAAGTGAAAGTCCCATGGCTAACATGAGGAGATGCAGCCAAATTCCTCGCACTTCTCATGTCAGCCAACTAAATGACATACCAGCAATGCAACATGCAATGGTGGGATAGGAATTAAACCAGTAGGCATAATCTTGATGCTAATAACGATACATTTAATGAGCAGAGGCTGAAGTCAAGCCAGAAGTGAATTCATAATACATCAATATGGTAATAGCACTTGAAAGTGTTAGGCGTCGCCAACTAGCCGCCTTACAAATTGTTTTGGCTGATACTAACCACAAAGCAGCCATGCTTCTCATTTATTGAGCCTGGATCCTGACTGGGGAGGTAGGCCTGCCTAATAGGCCAACTTGATGGTCTTGATAATCCAGGCAGAGAGAATTGAATCTTAGGTGGAGCTGCTGTTTCTTTAGACCCAAGCAGAGCACAAATAGATTGTCGCCTACTCGAAAAGCCTCAGTCCTTCTAGGATAGACAAATAGCACCTGGTGAAAATCCAGAGCTGTCCAATCTTAGGTTCCTTTGAATTTGAGTCTGTGAGCATCTGCACCTCCGTGCTGCAGTAACAGGTGTTAGGCCCAATTCACACCAAGTCGTCATTGGTTTTACGCGCAGGTGCTTTTTTTGCGTGTTTGGCACATTTTTGTGCGCACTTGAAGACGTGTGTTTTGACTGGCAGCTCAAGAAACATTGTGGTCAATGTACAAACATGCAAAAATGTGACTGAAAATGTGCAACATGCTTTTGCCACGTCTTACCTGGCATTTCCATTGAAGTCTATAGGGGAAAAACGAGCTGTAAACTGCCGCAAAAAGCTCATGTACTTTTTTTCTGCTTTTGCCATTCTCCTGCTCAAGTGTGAACAGGGGCCATTGAAAATCATGGGATTTCTTTGTTAGTCATTTTTAAAGCGCTTTTTCTACTGCTCAAAAATGCCTAGGTGTGAACCAGGCCTTAGATGAGAATGAACATGAGAAACAGGCCACAAAGTACATTAGGAAAAGGGCTGGGGAAGCCTATAGGATTTTACCAGCAAATGGCAAGCTACAGAGCGCCTTAGTGTGGCCTGATGATTATATGTACCTCACCCTTACCTGGAGCCCTTTACATCCCATAGTCCTTAAAATTCATGGAACTGTATTTGTAATCTTGCTATACACTACATGGCATTGCCTTCATGTAAGAGAACTTTGCCCTAAATTCTCTTCTCTAAATATAGCATTAGAGTTCACACGAGCAAATAATAATAAGCGAATTGTGAACGTGTAAAGCCAAAGTGTAACAGGCCTGTGATGAAATAATTAACCCCTCTCTGAGCAGATAGAACATCAGACTCCATTTATAGACCTTCCATAATTAGACACAGCTTAAACAGGCAGCATAGCTGGCATCATTCTAAAACTATTCCAGTAGACGCATTCATGCTAGATAGATGCTTTATCAATCCTGGTGCACTGCTTACAGATTTGTTTGGAAAAAAAGGACATGACTAGAACTGATGTAAAAACAGACATTGTGGGAGAAAATTTTCAATTCTGTACCTAGAGGTCTTGACTTTGTAAGGCCTTAGGCGAAATTCAAACGTGAGGGCCCCCACTTAAAGTGTATAAATTGCATATTTTAAGCCAATAACCTCCAGCAAGTGTCAGGGCCAGCAATGACATCCGCCAACAAGTGTCAGGACTATAACGATTAAACAATTTTTAACATGGTTTCTTACTTTGGTCTCTGGTGACTCCAGCAAGTGTCAGGGCCTACACTGCCTATATAGCTCATGGTATTATTCTACATTGCTTTATAATGTGTTTCTGGTATTTGTAATCCTGTATAGCTGATGGTATTTTTTTAATGCCACCAGCTATACAGGACTATAAATCCCATCAATACTTACAGCAATGCAGAATAATACCCTCAGCTATGCAGGACTACAAATCTCATTAATATATACAACAATGCAGAATACTAGGGATGCACCGATATTGGTATCGTGCCTTTATTTAGCATTTGGGCGAATACTCGTACTAACCCTAATGCTCCGATACTTACCCCGATGCAGGAACTTCCGGTTAGAGGGAGATTTGCTCTAACTGGCAGTGCCAGTGGAACCGGCTTCCCGGCCAATCAGGAAGCCAGTCATGACCTGCCTCCCGGCTTCTTGATTGGCTAGGAAGCCGGCTTTACCCTGCCTAGCAAAACTGCAAAGCAGCTTGGCTTCCTGACCAATAAGGAAGCCACACGGCTTCCTCATTGGTATCAGTACTCTGTATCGGCGAGTAATGATAAAAACAAATATCCGCACTCGTACTCTATACCGAAAAATTGTTATTGGTGCATACTATCAGCTATACAGGACCACAGGTTCTTCTCCTATACGGTATTCCGGTTCTCCTCCTGTACTGTATTCCCGTTCTCCTCCTGTACTGTATTCCCGTTCTCCTCCTGTACTGTATTCCCGTTCTCCTCCTGTACTGTATTCCCGTTCTCCTCCTGTACTGTATTCCCGTTCTCCTCCTGTACTGTATTCCCGTTCTCCTCCTGTACTG